CCAGGATGGTCCCACCTCTCTAGCAGGCAATACAAATGGGGGTAAAAGTTCTCTGAACTAAGTTCTCTTTTTGGTGTGAACGCAAAATTCCAGGCACTAACGGAACTAAACGGGAAAAGTACGGGTAAAAGTACTCCGGTGTGAACGCGCCTAAAGGTTAAGGCTGGAATCTGATGTTTCCTGATCAGAAAGATGACTTACAAATTAATGCCCTTGTGACTTTAAATAAGGGTTATTCAAGTGTTCAGACTGTGAAGTCAATTTACCTCATTTACAGAAGTGCCTTTCTCAATGGCAAAGTCTACTGGAAAAAATATTTTTGGGCCCCATGACATCACGTGACGGACACGGAAGTTGCAATACCACAATTTGGTCTCTCAGAAAATGTGTTTTAACACCCGGCACACTTCCTGGGGTCTTCAACTAAAGATATTTCCCTGATTGTGTTTTTGGTAAGCAGACTAACTGAGTTATTTGTCTCCCAGGTGACACATGGACAGAGACCCTGGCCTACGTGATGTTCTGGGGGGCTGCCAGCGCCATCACAGCCACCATCATCCTGTTTAACGGCCAAGACTTTGTGGACTCTCCTAAACTGGTTCACAAGGAGAAACTGGACTGACTGTGTGTGTGTGTGAGGAGTATCTGGGCTCAGCAAGTTCACATAGCTCTCAATGTCCACCGTCTCCTGATATGCTGCCTCCTTACTGCCCTCCAGACTTTCTCCTTCAGAACCTTTCTCTGCCATTTGTCTACAACATGTTTCCCTCCTGCAGTGGGACTGACACTCTCCTTCACTCAGCCCACATCTCTTACATTCCTCATACTGGATCGTTACGTTGGTTTTGTCTGCGCTAGGTTTACAGTTTTGTCTTTCGGTCCACTCCAAAACTAATTATTTTAACACTACTCACAATTTTCTTATTTGTTTACGTTTCTTAGGTTTAAATCTGTACACATGTCATAAGCGTTTTCAATTCTGCATAAGGACACCCATTTGAGGTTAAAGGTGTTTTCAGTGATTCTAAATTCATGTCCAGTAAGGTGTTTGGAGCTATGCTGGAACGACATGGCGTCCGCAAACTCTACATACTAATGAATATGATGCAGGTTGTCAGATGATCCAGTTTTAATATTGATTAGTGCATCTTTAAAGATACTAAAAATTTCCCTCCAATAATGATTTATGAATGTCAATTAAACCCAATCAGTCCCTCTCTGAGCACTTAAACATTATTGAAAAGTATATGTTGTCTGTAACTGATGAGTCTATGCAGAATGCCTGTTAGAGTTTTGAATGTAACAAGCCTTACCAACTTGCATATGAAGTATAAATGTGCGACTAATACATGTGTTACTGGGGTGAACCAATGTCTTCCTGTCGAGCTAACATGGGACAGTATTTATTGTGATGTTGCACTTTGACATGTACTCCATGTGTGTTGTTGTTCCAGACCCCTGCATCTCAGCGCACTTTTTCTATTTGTTCTGGGATGGAAATAGGTCTGGTTGGTCCTTGTTCAGGTTTTTTTGTTACTGTGGAAGAAACATTTTTATACCTCTCTCTGCAAGATTAACAGACGACACCATGTGTTTATGGAAGCATAGAGCTACGTCAAAAGATTCACCAACCACCACCAGACATTCAGAAACTTTTAAATACAGTAGTTCTGCGGTTGGTACAGTGATGACCTATTTTTGTAGGCCGGACAGGAAGATAGCATCGCAAGGGCTACCTTGCATTTGATCTTGGAACATTGAAAAAATGTATATTTTTGGCAAACACACATTTATGATGTTTTTTTTAGCAGGATAATCTCCACATATTAACACCACTTTGTTTTTTAAGTGTTAATGCAATAACTGGCCATAAGAAAACTAGTGCTAGGCAATAAACTAAATGACAGTCACATGACTGCACTACATCACCTCTACGTTAAAGGTTGCTAATGTCCACTGGGATAGTGTTAAGTAGAGAAATGTAGACAGGGGTATTTACTGATGTATTTTATGTCATAGAACAAAACATGAAAATCTGTTCAGCTTGTGTTAACCACAGACCTTATTTGAGATAACAATTTGAGGTTACCAAAAATGCATAACAAAAAACGTACTTAGAGACAACGGAAGTGCTAAAATGTTGACACATTTCCGAGTTTTAGGATTCATCCTGTACCACACCAGACCTGTTTGAGTCTCGTAACAAATGGCCGATGCTAGCAGTCAGTCAAAGATCTGGAACCAGGTTCAGTTGTTTCTAGAAACAAATGAGACTGCAGCAGTTTTTAGTGGAATATGTTTAGCTGTTTATCTCCTTGGGTTGATCTATGGCTCCATGCATTGCTGTGTAACATCAAATTCTTCACATTGTGGCTTTATTCTATTGTTATCTCCAGATATCAGATGTAATGTGGTTATCAAGACTTAAATATTTAATTGTGTAGAGCTCAAATAAATTAAATTGGTATCTCAGACTTTAGGCATATAAGCATCAACATGGCTCTCCAATTGTTTGCTAATGTTTTCATTATTCAGTTTCCCAAATCCTGCCTTACATACCTGCCCATCAGTGGAAAGACATTTGAATTGACATTTAAAAACACAATTTGGCTTCTGGTGTTACTATAAATCCCTTTACCAACCAAATGTTGGTCACATATGCAAGTGGCTAGCAGATTAGCATCACTCACCAGGCAAAAGACAATTTGAAAATGTCTCAAGCCAGTGGACAAAAAGTACATTTTGCTTTCGGGTTGACTGTGTAGTTAGAGAATTGATCACCATGCCTGTGTAGTCTGTATGATTTCACATGGAAGCTGTGTGGTGTTAGTTTTTGATGATGTGTTTAGGGTCCCTCCAAACATGTATCCGATCATACCAACGCTTGGTACACGCCACACGGTGATATTCAGTCTATAGCCAAATGTTTAATTTACTCATCATGCTAGCTTTTAAAGAGGTCATCTAATCTTGATCAGAAATCTGTGTAACGTGTGCAGTGTGGGTGAAACTGTCCTGGACATATCAATTCCTGTACATTTAAAATGTATTTACAGATGTGATGCGGCATCATTTGTGAGTGGTTTTATCTGGACATATGAAGTGTGTTTGGACATTGTATCATTATATGAATTAAAAGATGAATTAGTGTCCATCACACTGTTCAACGTTTGAAGGTTTAACATGTTATTGATTTGTTTTTTTGGCTGTGAGTTTTGTTTATGTTGTAAACAATATAATGGGGCCAATGACATACAACCTGCTTCATGAAAGTGTTTTATGAGATGACAACATTACTACAACACATTGTATTCATTTGGAACCAGGGAACTAATGTCACTTTCAGCTGTTTTCTGGGATTATTTTTTAGCAATGTTTCAGGAGTTAGTTCTTCATGTAAGGAAATAATGAAATAAAAATATTCAGTCTAAACTGAGCCATTTAAATATCTGTTGGGTTTAAGGTATATGTCACACAGATATATTTGTACAGTTTGCAAACCGTGTTGCAGTACAGCTGGTGTTGGTGTTTATGTCTGAAGGATGCCCATTACTGTCATATATTAGGAACATTGGGATAGTATAATTTTAAAGCCCTCAGAGTCACTGATTGACTTCCAAAGCACGCTTCATCCCGTGGTTTCTGTAACTGTCAATAAACTCCAGTGAAAAGACATTACCTTAATGTCACCTTTACTTGTATTTGATGCTCAATTGTATTGTGTAATACTGAAAAGTGTATAAATCTTTGTGCATGAGTGTTTTCCATTTGACTTCTGATATAACATGAAGGATTCAGTATTTCCAAATCAGTATATATATATATTTTGTGTGAACATTTACAAAAAATGTAGTTGCATGCAAAATGAAAAGAGACCTGCGCACACACAAGGCAACAATTCATTAGTCTTTAGACAGGTTTCAAATATTTGCATAATGCTGTACAAAATATATTGTCAAGGTACCATAATATCTCAGGAGTACAAGAGTGTATAATTAAAGAGGGGAGAGTTTATAGTTCTGTGCTACTTCATAAATGAGTAGATGAACAGGAGCAGGAAATATCCATATGGTTATATTCTGAAACATTCTGCACCACTGGTGCTTTCTTTCTTTCTTTTTAGCATTGAAAAATAAAGAATAATCACGAACTAAAATAGAGACAAATTTAACCTTGTAATCATTTTGGGAATAAAAATGAATATTGTGTTACAGACAAACCAAGTGAAGATGAAAAGGCATTTTTCATCAAAGATATCAGTTTTAAGTGTTTCAGTTTCCATTATTTTAATAGCATTTTTGCTAAGACATTTTTTTAAAGGTTTATATTAAGTGGATCCTTCACATTGTAAAAACAATGTGCAGTGTTGAAAGTAATTAAGAACATTTACCCAAGTAGGCCTACTGTACTTTTACTTGTGTCAAGTACATTTGACAGCTAATATCTGATTACTTTTACTCAAGTAGGATTTGAAATGCTTACTTGTAACAAAGTGTTCCTACATTCATTGTTGTATTCGTACTTTTAGAAATGGTGTACCTTTGTTTAACTGCTTTATTTCTCAGACCAGTAAACAGTACACACAGCGCTAACTGTTGACGCAAAAACGTAACCAGGACGTTGGAGTGACGTCAGCACGTACTGTTGTTGTACTTCCTGCTTCACTTCTCTGCTGCGTAATTTAGCATGTGCAGCCCTGACTTCTGCTGCTTTATTTAAAACTCTCAGTAATTTCACATTATAATATTAACATCTTCGGCAGCAGGATGAGCACGTTATGGATGGGGAACGTGAGTACTTTACAACTTTATACTACGGTTAATAATTTAATGTGACCACCGTGTTAGCTAAGTTACGTACGCTGTATGGATGTGATACAAAACTCCTTCAAGAAAACCAGCAGATAATATCGCTTGTTTGTGGATTATCCCCTTGTATGAGGAGCTGGGCTAACGTTAGGGTTTAGAGTTGGTTAACCGCTCACACTATTTTAATGCAACACGTAGCTCTCAGCAGAAAGGCCCACCGGGACTAATGTCATGTTAATGGAGTCTGCTATCAGCTACATGAGGGGGGTGGACGGACTTGTTATTGTTATTGTGTTTCAAAAATAAGCTTTCCTAAAGTGTCCATTTAGGCCAGATTAGACCAGGTTTACATGAATTTGTATATTAGTCAAACCTGGACGAGGTTACCAGAGACACTGTTTTAAACCCTCAGTCTGATATTGTGTGGATGTCGAAAAATCTATGAAAATGTATTTCTTTTTTAAACTCTAATTTATGAATCAAAGCAAGTCATTCACTTTTCCATGGCACTGTCCTGCAAATATCTCAGAATAAAAGCTTTGTATTATCAAATGAAGGGAATTTATTGTGTACATTTTTACTTTTTTTAATGTCTGACATATTTTACAGATATAGACAGTTAAACTGTAACAATGTTGCCGCTTTGATGTCAGTATTACAATTGCAATTATTATTATGACCAATTTTACAGTCACGATAATGGAGCAAATTATAGCCATTATAATTCTCATTATCAGGAAAAAATAAAAAAAAATTATGGTTTGTTTAAAAAAATAAAAATAATGCATAGAATCTGTGCCGGCTTTCAAGTCTGAAGAATACATGTATATGATTTAATCTCTGCAGCTCCACAATACTTTTTTTAACACATTTATTTAAACAAATAACCATGGCCACGACATGTTTCACCAGTTTAAGTGACCTTAATGGATCTCCTAACTTCTTTAATGTTTCCCTGCGGCTGTGTAGCTGGAGACCTACATGGATGAGAAGTTCATCACCAGATCTTTCTCCACCATGGGGGAGCAGGTGGTGAACGTGCGCATCATACGCAACAAGATGACTGGGTAAGAACTACATCTGTAGCAGTTGTCAGTTTTGGACGCGTTCTACTCTGACGTTAAACAGTGTGTCTTCACCCAGGGGGGCTCTGGGGTACTGCTTTGTGGAAATGACGGATGAGGCCACGGCTGAGAGGTGTCTCCGCAAAATCAACGGGAAAGCCTTACCGGGAGCCAATCCGGTATGTAGAGTGATCACTCAGTAGCGATGCTTAGGCTCCTGAGAAATGGCATTGTAGACTTTAATATTTCCTTAATATTTCTCTCTCACAGCCCACAAGATTCAAGCTAAACCGAGCCACCTTTGGGAAACAGGAGAGTGGGTGAGTTATAAAGCAGGAAATGAAAGATGACCTTTTTTCAAAATGTTTCCTTCTTTCGTTGACAAAAACCTGACTCTGTTGTCCCTCGTGTTGCAGTCAGATGTATTCTCTGTTTGTTGGAGATTTGACTCCCGAAGTGGATGATGGGATGCTCTATGAGTACTTTTACAACCGCTACCCTTCCTGTCGAGGTGGAAAAGTGGTGCTGGACAGCATGGGCAACTCCAAGTGAGTAATAACATGTCCCCATGCTATATATGGAGAAGGTGTGTGTTTGTCCCAGGCTTGAAACTTCTTCCAATGGAGTAAACTAGTTCGATAAAAAAGTCAACATTTCAAACACTCAAGATTGCTTCTACAAGCTAATGATAACTTGATCCGTCCTTCCAATTGAGGTAACGTGCATCTTGGGCTGTCATTATTTACAGTGGACTAGGGGTGCAACAACTAATCGACTTAATCGATTAAAATCGATTACCAAATTAGTTGCCAACTAATTCAGTCGTCGATTCGTTGGTGACGTCATCACGTGTGTTTTACGCGCCGTTAAGCTCCAAAGTTATTGGTCTTTTTATCAGTATTGGAGACATTTAAAAAATATGTCATGTATTATTGCTACATAAACATTATATCGCAGTCTTAGTGTCGCCAACTCGTTTCTAATATGCAAAAAGAAAAAACAAATGTGTCTATGATGTATTTTCGATCAGACGAGATCTCTCTCCCCCGTCTGTGTGAGAGGGGGCGGGGCAGTTTACACACACGCAGCTGCTACATGCAGCAACACACTGCGGAGATGGCGGAGAGAACGCGCTCCGAGGTGTGGTTCAACTTTACCCGTCTCGATGTGGACAATGCTCGTTGCCAAAAGTGCAATAAGTGTTTAGCATGTAAGGGCGGTAACACGAGCAATTTATCTAAACATTTAGCAAAAGTGCACCACATTCAGACGGAGGAATGCACCGGGTTCGACTGTCTTTCTAGTAGCTCTGTAGCCCCATCCACGAGTAACGTTTCCACGTCAGGTGTTATGTATGCTAGCAGCAACACACGGAGTTAACTACATTATACAAACATGGGTTAATGATTAGAGGTAACTGAGTTATTTATTTTGTTAAAGTTTCTGCTATTCTGTTTACAGTTCTGTCATCAAATTATTTAATACCATTTGTTAAAACATTGTTGTTTCTTTTGATGTGAAATATTATTTATTTAATTTAAATAAAAAGCAATGTTAATTTTGTTCAAAATGTGTTTAGTTAATTTAATAATATATGTATTTTTGAATCAAGTATTCATCTTTTTTGTCTTCATTGTTAGTCTCCACATCCCTAAAACAACCTCAAGCTAAATCTAAAAGTTGATGGCTAAATAAGAGCGTTTGAGAAATTGTGCAAGGCATACAGTAATAGTCCGAATAGTCGATTAATCGTTTCATTAATCGATAGATTAATCGATTATCAAATTAGTCGTTTGTTGCAGCCCTACTGCAGACTTGTCAAAGCATTAATTCATGGTTTTTACTAACCGCTTTCAGTATGTCGTTACTTCGGCATCATTTTGAAACGTGTATTACAATTAAATCACGGTCAAATATGTTCATCTTGTTGTAGTTGTAGCCCCCTTGACAGCGATTCTCTCTCTAGTTTAGACTGCGGTCAAGCCAGCCTCCACTCGGAAAAACCTAGTCAAGCCAGCCCTCACGTGATATTGCGGTGCGCGAATATCCTATGCATTACGGTAGAGTCAAAAAAAATCCTCCCTCTGTGTTTAGATGAGAATAAAACAAAAACTGTCCAGTATCAAAGACACATTTCACTTCAGGGTGATAGCAGGAGATCCCATCTAGTCACTCAGAAAACATCAGGACATTCTGATGTAGAGTTTCAAAATAAAAGACCTTTGGGGACAGGGATGATAGTTCATATATGAGACTTCAAAGGTCTTTTATTTTTATATATTTCAACATGAAATGTGCGAATAATGGAAAAGTCTAATAAAGTCAGAAAAATACATGAATTGACTCTAATGCAGCCTTTAAAACCATTGAACGACACGACTAATGCTGCTAGCCCTTACTTCTACATTGGGTTTAAAATGTATAATCATCTCATTATAAATGTTGTTAATATTACATTTGGACAGAAAAGGGTAAAGAACCATACCTCATTTGTATATACTAATGATAATAATAGTGCACATTTAAAAGCCTTTAACTCTAATTCATGAAGTCAAGCAACTCATGTCATTTGCACTGTCTTCAAAATATTTCCAAAATAAAAGCCTGGTGTAAACAAATGATTGCAATCTGTCAACAGAAAGCAGCAGCAGGAGGACTTTTGTCTTTAAACAGAAAGTTTGTACTTTTTCATGTCAGACCTTTTTTAAAGATATTTAAACTGGAGCAATGTTGCTTCTTCGATGTCAATATACTGTCGAAAGATAATGTTCCCTGTCTAACTGTGCCTGTGTGCGCAGAGGCTGTGGCTTCGTGCAGTTCCCAGACGAGCGTCTGCAGAAGCGGGCGCTGGACGAGTGTCAGGGCGCGGTGGGCCTGGGCTCCAAGCCTCTGAGACTCAGCCTGGCTGCTAACAAGTGAGTCCTCGCAGCTTTAGATCTAATCATGCCATGTCACATGACAGGTGAAGTATAACAGTGTGTCCCTCCCTCTTGAGTTTAAGGAACCGGCAGCAGCAGCAGCATTCAGAGCCACGCTCAGGCTACAGCACAGCGTACAGGAACGGCTACGACCAGTACAGCCAGTACCAGCAGCAGGCCTACCCCGGGTACTACCCCTCCTGGGGGTACGACCCCAACGCAGCAGCAGGGTATGGCTACAACTACCAGCAGTATGACTACTCACAGTACACCCCCACCCAGGTGAGCTCTCTCTCTGTTAAACAGTCGTCACATCTCACTGATCACAGACTGACTCGATCTAACATGTGTTCTCTTTTCAGGAGACCGAACCTGTCCCGGACGATGGTATTGAAGGTTGGTGTTAGGGTTTTATTATTGTGACAGCTTGATTTTTTATTTAATTATTATATTTGTTTTAATATTTATTTATCTTTTATTTATTACCGTAGTTTATTTAACAGGGACAGTGCACATTAAAAGACATTTCTGTAAATGCCCCATAATTGGCCATTAGGCTATTTTTCATCGGTAGTCCCTGGACATATTCCAAAGTCACCCTAAAAACGAATTGCCTTTTTTTTAAATAAAATAATAAAAATCATGCAACATAGAGGATCACTGTAAATGGTGATTAAAACAATATTACAGAGCATGACGATGGCTAGATGGCAGGTTAAAGCAGCACAGAACTACAGAGGACTGTTCAGTGCTTCAGTGTTCAGTAGATTGATCATTGTAAATCTAAAAATCTTTATTACTTGAATTAGAATATTTCAAGCAGTATTTTTTTTATTTAGTTCCTCCAGGAGTGCCGTTTTGTGTTTGTCAATATGAGCAATGAAATTTGAATCACTGATAATATTTGAAGCCAATATAGCAAACGCAAAGCAAAATGAAAGATATTTAGTTTTAGGAGAAAGGCTTAAGTTCATTCAGGGGAAGCACAAGTCCGAGTGAGACGTTCAGATACATTTTAACTAGGGCCGGGACTCGATTAAAAAAATTAATCTAATTAATTAGAGGCTTTGTAATTAATTAATCGCATTTTTAATCACATATAAATATTTGACCTGAGAACAGTGAGAAGCAATTTTTTTCACATGGATTTTAGTATACCATTGAATAATGACTGAATACATAAGCTTAAGCAACAAAACATAGTTTATTTTTTTCAAGGTGGTTCTTAACCAAGACCAACAGAAAAGTGCAATTTTTGCCATAAAGTGTAGCAATAGCATATTTAGGAATATAGTACATTTCAGAGATTCAGGTAGCCTATAGGTAGGTAGACCTTCTGTAAACTATAACACTTTGTTTTTTAAGTAAAACACAATACTTTCAAGTACATTCAGAACATTGGAAACCCTGACTATTAGAAACCATCTCTCTGTTGCTTCAGAGGCCATAACAGACTTTGTTGATTTACCAACAGTTGATTTAAAAAAATCTAATAAATTTCAGTCCAAGTCTCTCAATAACCTTGGCCAAAACAATAAACAGTTCAACATAAAGTGCCAGTTGCACCAACAACATAATAAATAGTTCAACATAAAGTGTACCATTTAAAATAAAAGTGATTGACCTCAATCCCTCCTATTCTTCCAATATCCTGATGAAAAATAAAATCTCTCTGTTGCATAGGCCACTGTTTGATCAACACGAATTGGGTGTGGGTCCTTGTACTCCGAGTCGGGCTAACGTCCACTCTAGCTTCCACGCTAGCTGCTATATGTTTTGCATTGAGGTGATACTTGAGGCTTGATGTGCTGCGGTGATATGCAAATTCCTTTTTGCATAATTTGCAAACAACCGTGCTCTTATTGACGCTTCCATCCGTCCGTTTTTTAAAACAAAATGTCCCATCCACGGGGCCAACCAAAGCCGTCTCATCAGCTTGTTCTTTCACGTTTGACTATTGTTCACTGTGGTTTGTTGTTGTTTGAAGTAATGAACGTTAGTTGGTGTTCCAGTATAATCGGTACCCCTGAAACTCATCCAGTGAGAAACGTTCCGTGGTGCAAAAATAAGTGCGATTAAAATGCGTTAATTTTTGTGTAATTAATTAATCTTAATTAACGCGTTAAAGTCCCGGCCCTAATTTTAACCTCTAGTCTGTCTTTAAAGTATGCACGTTGTTAGCCTAGCTTAGCATAAAAACTGGAAGCCGAGGGCTAGATTGGCTCTGTTCAAAGTATAACACGCCAACCATATTTGTATTTGACGACAGCAAATAAAAATAACACTCACAATACAAGGTCCATAAGTGATTTGGGGGCGGTCATAATAAACAAATCTTTAAAAAAAAATGTCTTTCTTAATGTTTTTTTATAATGCTTGTGTGAGCCTGTATTGTTTAGTCACTAAATCTGATGTACCCCCCCACCTCTGTGCTGCAGACCCCAGCCCGGAGCTGGACGTGGTGGAGGCCAACAGGAAGTTCATGGAGCTGAGTGAGGAGCTGTACGACGCCCTGATCGAGTGTCACTGGCAGCCTGCAGACGTCTCCACAGAGGAGGACTACACCCCCCCCACCCTGCCGGAGCCCATCTACTGCTGAACACCCACTCCTATCTGGACTGTACACCTGCACAGTTTTCTTTCCAGTGACTGCTGAAATGTGGATGGATCTTTGTTTTAAGGACATTCAACAACATTTGTGTGTATCCACAGATCACAGTGAATCCAAACGATGTTAAAGTCTTATTTCCAACATTCTCCCACGATGTTAGCAAAGGAACAAGTCTGGTGACGTAACAGGCAACATCTTGGAAACTAAAATGACATCACTATAAACCAAATGTAAATATCAGACATGAGTGGCCTCCTTGATGTTGCTACACAACAGGTTGACCTCATACAGGTTTGTGTTGAAGCTGTTATTTTGGGCCATAGGTATAATACATGTTCTCTCTAATGTACCCTTATTAAAGCTCACATTTGTAGAACTCTGTTCTTTTAAATTATTCTGAAGTACGCTTTTGTTTGTAGAAAAAATGAAATTATGAATTCTGAAACATGGTGCAGTCGGTCTGTTCATTACATCCCCACTGGATCCATGTGTCTTTGTATGCCGAGTCATCAGAGGCAGAAATGTCCCACTTTAATAATAAAAACACCTCATATCAGTGAACTGCACGAGTTCTAATAGAACATCTATTTGCAGCTTAAGAAGAGTAAACTGGATCAGAGACTTCCCAAAGCTTTATTACTCACTTGTAGATTAAAGCTCGTCCATCATGTTTAATAAGGAAATCTGTTATGTTCACAAAATAAGTTAAGTGATATATTATTCTTTATCATAATATAGAGTAGGCCTACATAGCGTCAGTTTGACTATAGTTGGAAATACAAAAGAAATGCACTGTTAAATGTTTAAAATACAGACAAAACAAGTGATGGTAATCGTTGAACAACAAAAGGATCCACAAAGACCTTAAATCCAAGGGATACCATGTTTAGCTGCTAGGTCTTATTGCCAAACAGTCACTTGATTAAAGGACCGACACAAATCTTGAAATGTGAAAGGAAACAGTGAAATTATATATATTTTTTTGAAACACTAAATAATGAATAAACCTGTAGTTCTATTTCGTATATGGCTTCGCCCTCTAAGGCTATCGCTATTGGGTAATCCCCCTGCGCACCCGCGCAGCACTGAAACACTTGTAGTCCACGCCCAACCGCAAGGTGGGCCCCAACCTCGGGCTCCCTTCCGGTATAAATAGGAAGGAGGCCCGACAATCTGCTCCCTTTTCTTCAGCACCCCGTTACTGAAGCACAAGAGACACTTCAATTGCAGAGTAAACATGAGTAACAATTGTGTGAGAGATTGTCCCTCATGTGGCTCTGGGTACATAATGAGTTATATGACCAGCACACAGTATTCGAATCCTGCCTGGTGTCAGAGCACGCGTACGCGGCTCTAACCCAGCAGGTAGCATGCACCCACTGTGCCCGTCTCCCCTCGGGCGACGGGAAGCGGAGAGCGGACGCTCTTTCTGCTGCGGCCGAGGAGGACGATTGGCCCGTCCAGGCTTACGAGCCCGCGGACGGGGGCCGAGTGTTGGGCAGGAGTCCGACAACTCCTACCCCGCCCCCCTCCACGGTTCACCGTTCGGTTCTCCCCTCCCTCCTCTCCCCCGGACGGGGGAGGCAGAGTCGGAGCAGGGTGCCAGCTTGGCGGCCGAACATGCTTTCCCCCTCTCCGTCACCACAGCGCTGTTTGTAGATGAATGTGCATTAATAAACAAGGCAAGTCAGGCTGTGTCTCAACGCCGTGTATTCACATTAAGCAGGTAATCATACAACTAAGGAATAGTCACGTGAAGCAGATATATATATAACACAGGCACAATACGTCCACAGGGTGGAGCTGCAACCTAGCCTAAACGACCCTGTAACATCTTCCTTCCTTTTGTTAAGTAACCACACAGGATCAATACTGCCATTAAACTGTTGACCTTCAATCAGAACATTAATAAAATGATTTCAACAACAAATAGTGCACATAGCAGAGACACTTCAATAATAGCCGGATTCGAACACATCAGCCATAAACTCAGAACAATCAATCACATTTGTTTTACAATCTCTCTTTTTTTCCAATCTTTATCGTCCATGTGTGTTTGAGTGCGCACAGTCCGTGTGTGTGTGTGCGTGTGTGTGCGTCTGTGTGTGTGTGTGTGTGTGTGTGTGTGTGTGTGTGTGTGTGTGTGTGTGTGTGTGTGTGTGTGTGTGTGTGTGTGTGTGTGTGTGTGTGTGTGTGTGTGTGTGACCTAGAGGTCAAGTCTGTCAGGAGGTCTAATCAGCCGTCCGCTCCGGGAGAAGGCCCGGCCCTGTAACTCACGGCATGGTGTATCCCCAGTCTGCGGGGAAGACTGCGACGACCTCGGGGGTGATGGCCTTGGAGACTCCTCGGGGCGACGACCTCTCTGGCGCTCCCCCACTCGCAGGCTGCTCCGGGGCCGATTCTGGGAGAACTGACGGCTGGAGAAGGGCCGCCTCTGCTGATCGAAGATCAACCCTGTTGCGCCGATACGTGGTCCCCTCCACACCGACCAGATAGGACCGGAGTCCCAACTGCTGAAGGCACACACCTCTCCTCCATCGGCCTGTCCTGTCTCCTGGGATTGGCTTCATCCGTATGGGCTGGCCGACGTTCAGCTCCGGCAGATCCTTGGCAGATCTGTCATATGTCAGCTTTGCTGCTTGATGTTTCACTTTCAGCTTGTCAGGAACACCCATGATGACCTGAGGCACCAGTAGCTGGTCGGCCACAGGGAGAAGGGTTCTCAGTCTCCGCGACATAAGCCGCTGTGCTGAGCTGCAATGCATACCCTCAGTGGGCGTATTTCTCCAATGCAATATGGCCCTCCAGGGGTCCTCTTTGGCACGGTCTGCCCTTCTGCACAGGCTCTTTACAATTTTCACTGCTGACTCCGCTTTGCCGTTAGCCTTTGGGTGCCTTGGTGAGGACATGACATGCTCAAAACCCCACTCTCTCGCAAACGCCCGGAACTCTCCACCGGCAAACTGGCCTCCACCATCAGAAATGGCCCTGTCTGGGACACCGTAGTGTGCAAACTGTGCCTTGCATCTACGGATCGTGGTGTCCGCTGATAGGTCAGGGAGCAGGTCGATCTCCCAAAAGTCAGAATAATGGTCCACCACGAGCAAGAAGTTATGTGCTGCATAGCTGTACAGATCCATGCTTACTAGCTGCCAGGGACGTGTGGGGAGCGGGTGTGACATCATAGTCTCTTTCTGTTGTTCGTGTGCATACTCATTGCACACAGAGCACTTTTGCACATAATCCTTGACTTCCCCTTGCATACCGGGCCAGTAAAGTGTATCACGGGCCTGCCTGTAGCACGCCTCGCCCCCCACGTGGTTGTAGTGGATCCATCTCAGCATTTCCGGGCGCATAGCTTTTGGAATGATGACGCGCTGACTCCTGAAGAGCACGCCATCCTGTGCACTTATCTCATCTCTGACGGCCCAGTAGTCCCTGACGGCTACAGGGGTCTCCTCTTTGTGTCCTGGCCATCCCTCCAGCACGACAGACTTAAGTGTTTGAAGACACACATCCTCCTCAGTGTGTGTCCAAATCTGTGCCAGGCGTTGGCTGCTGACATTTAAATAGTCTGCCTGCTGAATGGCCGCAGTGTCACACTGCTCCTGCTGCATGCTGCAGACCATTTCACGTTGGTACAGTGTGTCTGTTCTCTGTGGCGGGGTGGTG